GGGGGGGGGGGGGTAACAAATTAGTATTATACTCAATCTTGCTTAACATGGGTTGATTACCCTTGACAAAGCTATGCAGTTTGCAGTTAGATATTGATCCATACAAACCTGCATTGTCATCTCTGCAGACATTTCTATGTATAAAAAATTATACCTGTGACACCCAAATATACATTGTGCATTAATATAATGACACAGAAATCTATGAAGGAAAAACAAATTACCAAGGACTATAGCGATGGTTCCCACCCATTGCCGTAGAGGAAATCATGACTCAATGGTTTTGTAATGAGAATATCCTGTGTATGTGTCATGATATTCATAAGACTGTTCAGCCAGGTAAATCAGGTAAACTAGACAAGGAGGAGCTGGCTTTACTGAAGGGAACAGGTAGTTGTGACATAACCTGTCTAATCCACTCTCACCTTTCTCTTCTCTGATAATATTAAGTATCTAGAGAACAGGTGTGAAAACATGAGAGGGAGAGAGAGAGAGAGAGAGAAGAAGAAGTGAAGACATATATATATATGTATATGTCATAATTTGAAGAGAGATTAATAACAAAATTGTGGAATGCATTGGGAGCATTCACATCGAGAAGAGCCGAGGTCTAATAAGGCCGCGACCTAAATATGGCGGACCTACATGAAAGGGAAACCACTTAGTCCTGTAATCGTGTTTCTGCCTCTCACACGGCTCCCCACCCATCGTCCCTCGACCAGTTGAATTGAGCCAAGATTTATTTAGTGTGCCCCTGTCAATTAACACTAAATTACTGTAAAATTACTGTAATGTCTGAATCTGAACTTTGGCAATGACCAACAGGCCTGAGTTTTTAATGATAATGAATACCCCCCAGCAACTTCTATGTGCACAGTTGTATACTAAATTGTTTTATGATGTTAGCTGGTCTCAGTATAAAAAATAAAAAATAAAATAAATAAATAAAAAAAAAAAAATAAATAAAACTGATATTTCTTAAAAGTATCTCTGGGAAAACAGTGTTAACTTATCCTTATATCTGTTTACAAATTTCATACAACATCCATACATTCTTCGTTCATCAATTTTCATAGCTCCCTCTCTCAAAAAATGCCTACAATGTTTAGTTGATAGAGAATTATACATAACTTGCTTAAGGGAAATTAAGTTGGGAACATGAGCCAAAATAAAACATTCCATGCATGGGTTTTATACTGTTATAAATACTTAGTTCATGATTTCTGGCAAAAGCAAAACTGGCCTATAATGCCTTTGAAATACATAATAAATAATTCACAAACTGGTGTACACCATGATTCTCTCATAATTAAGTTTCATAATTTGCAGAACAGAAAAAAAAAAGATGCAGCATTTTTTTCAATTATTTTTCCAAAACCAATCATCCAATCTTTACTTTCATGACAAATTTATATCAGGTATGCCTTCATTGGAATAAATGAGGAAATTGGCAAAATTCCAGGATAATGTGCTTCTTCACCACACACATGCACACACACACACACACACACACACGCACACACACATACTCGTGTCCACAGGTAAATCCCAAAGACCCCCTTTAGAGAACCAATTAAAACACTCTGAAGTCTGACATACAAACTCAACTGGAAATTCCTCAGAAAATTGACATAAACAAGGTATACAAATAGCTTGGCCTCTACAGTAATAATTTAGTGCATGCTGGGAAGCAGAGCTGGGTCAATTCTTCCAGTGCAATAATAAACAACATGGGGCCAAACTACATGTACCTCCGCACCAGATAGCAGACGACACACAGGTGCTGGCAAACCCCTCTCTGGCTACTTAAACCATGTAGAGAAACTTATTTACCTAGGACCCTGTTCCCATACCTTGATGGATCTAGCAGGATCGACCCATCTCTGAGGGGATTCTCCCCAAATTACATTACATTCGGCATGCCTACTGAAGATGCTAAACAGAAGTTAATTACCCTCTTACGGCTTCAGTAGGTGTGCCAGACATCAGAGCTATTTAAGCTGAATGCAATTTAGCAAGATCGAAACCCCTAGCTCAGAGATGGGTTGATTATGCAAGATTGATAAAGGTATGGGAAGGGGGTCTAAGAGTTATAATCACAAATTCATTCATCTGTCACAGCTCATATAATATGAGATGCATGTGTGGGGGAGGAGGGGGTGGAAGAAAATGAAGCAATGAATGAATAACTGGTGTTAATTTCATTGTATGATTTAGACCTTACAACTGATTCAGGATGATCAGGGATTAGACTGCCATTTATACCCCGTTCACACTACGCTCAGTTATCTGGAAAAATTGCGAATTAGGTCACAATTCGAATAAATGCAGTAGTGTGAACGCAAGAGGTATTTTGTAATGCGCATTTTCAAAATCCTGCAAGCGAGGTGGATTTCTAAGAGCGATCCAGATAACTTACCGGAATTGACACCTGTACAGATCTAACTGCGCATGTGTGCAGATAAGTGCGGGTATCTATGAACGCTTGTTTATTACTTTACCGATTGCACCAAACGTATTTGGAGGTCACCACTCACTACAACATGAGGAAACAAACTTATTTTGCCATCTTATACTTCTCAAGAATGCTGGAATGTCTTTAGAGTTGCATTTGTCGTCACAAATTTTTGTTGGTATTTTAAGATTTCCTGTGCGGCGCATGTGCGAGTGTTCAAAACAGGAAGTTAAACCTGAAATTTTCAACGTGTAATTCGGTTTCGCTTAGCGTGTGTAAACGCAATACCGAATCGAATTCCTCACGAAAAATTCGGATTATAGAAATGTGCATTTTTGCAACTGTAGTGTGAATGGGGTATTAGTCAAGAAGTCTGAAAATATGGTGTGGCGTTTGGGGGGAGGTCTGCATCAATCTAAAAATGAGATTTTTGGTTCCCAAAAAGTCTGGAATCTGACTTTTGTCAGAGAAATCTCATTACTGTTTTATTTTCCATTCTTAACTATCCCAGTGTAAACACACCTGTAAGATAATATAATATGCCTTTACTATAGCAATCACACACATAGGTACTAGTATACTTCAACTGGAGGTGTGGGGACATGGAACATTCCTCTGACATTTTACTTTTTATTTTTCATCTTCCTTGCATAGAATGCAGTTCATGGGACCTTATTTGACCAAAGTGAGTGAACAATTTTTGCACCCCCCCCCCCGCCTTCCTGTCTTTCTCTTCATGCGAAATGGTTCAATTTCTCCTATCTCATTTCTTACTACAAGTGCTCCCATTAAAACCCCATTGATATTACTTATAAGCAAGGCCTATCTCTACAGTACAGATATAATTACACATGCAAGCCATAAAATATAATATAACAGCCATTTATGTGCCATTTGCCAACATTTGTACAGTGTACAGAATATATGAGAGTTATCAGACTATTTATATCAAATATCTAACCACACTTTTATTCATGAAAAAATACATGACTCAAGTTTTCCGAAAAGAAAATAAAGAACTGACAAAAATGAAAGAAGATAGAAAGATTGCATTAATAGACATTTCCAAGAGTCAAAAGTTTACGAGAAATCTTATGAACATCCTGAACATCATGACTCTTAACAAATACACGAAACCAAACAAAAAATACATGTACTACATACAACACTAAAACTGCCAAGCTAACTCAGCTGTGATTGTACCTGTCCCAAGCTTAAAATTAAATGGAATTTTTTTTTTGAAAATTAATTACCCTGAATTCCCCATTTATGCTTTACAAGGTTGTAAGAAACATGAGAACCTTTCTAGCGTCTGAAGTCCCCGGCATCCTCAGGGTGCTCCAGCATGATTTGAGTGACAGTAATGTGTAAATGAACTGACAATCAAAGAAGATTAAAGGCAGCAGACTTTTTACCTCATAAAAACAGCTGTTTAAGTCTGCCATATTGGTGGCTGTGTCTAGTGTTATGTGTTATTTAAATTCACCAGTACTCTAAGGCCGCATTCACAATAAAAATTGATATGCGGACCAACAGATCCGCAGATCAAATACGGCCGACCCACTTGAAAGCTTGCTGCATAATCCCTGCAGGGAATCTATTCAGTGTCTATTAGGGATTAAGTGGGCCAGCTTGCAGTGGGTTGACCATATCTGATTGCAGATCTTTTAGTCCCCAGATCAACTGGGTGTCAATGGCAGCCTAACAGCAATTGTATCCATGACCAGAGGTAATGGGATATAGTAGCCTTACTCTCTCATTCAAAACCAGTTTCAGTTACCTCAAGATAAGCTTACTGCATTTAAATATATTTCTGCAATGCATTAGGTTTTTTTTTTTCAATTTTTTTTTCAACCAAAGGCTCAAATATTACCATCATAATCACAGTTATGAAGTTATATATCATAGTGGTGGTGGGGGGTATAGTATTTCTTCCTCTTAAACACACAAACAAACATATACACAAACTGCTTAGTAGGTAACAGAAACTAAGAATTTTTTCTCACAGTAAATATAACTACACTAAACAACAATGAGCAACTTGAATGTGCAAAGTAACTCTTAGTAAAACTTAGCAGAAGCTATGTATATTTTCTGTAATATGAACTTTGGCAGATAATATAACCATTTGGCAGATAATAGCTATAATAGAATTAGAGAATGAACACTACTTCATTTAGAAATAAATCAATTAGATTTGAAAAAAATAAAATTTAGTAAGTTACAAAAAAAAACAAACAAACTTGAAACATAATGTACTGTACTAATTGATAAAGACTTGAATCTGATGGCTTCTAACTTGTTTTGTAGTTAGATGTAGTTCATATTTCTGACCCTCTTCCATCTTACTTGTTGCCAAACTTTACAAATACATGTACAGCACACACTTGTAAACAATTAACAGGAGCAGTCAGGTATGAGATTCTCTCAGGAAATACATGCATACTCTTGCATATATATATATATATATATATATAGCTAGATCAACTCTAAACTTTCCTGCTGGTGAAGCAAAGCATTTCCCAGCCACCTTACAGAAAGGGATGAATAAATCAAGTACAAACACAAAGTTTTCAGAAGCTTCATTGCAAACAAACTATTGGTATTACATCTTACAAATAAACAGACAGTTACTGATAATTATTTTACACCATTGCTGTTTATGTGTAAACTTAGTAAACTAAATTCTGTATGTCTAGAAATAAAAACATATAATAATCACATTCTTCACACCTCTTAAACACTGAGAAAAAACAAAAAACATGGGAGCATATCAAAACAAATTGTCACTCACCTAACTGGTTTTACTTCAGTACAATCTGTGTCTTGCTATTTGCATACAGTTTCATGTGCCGCCCAAGGTTTAGATAGAAAGTTGACCTCTCGACCTGATGGCAAACTAACCCAGCAATAGGCAGCAGACGGAATGAGCTGCCATGACATACCACATGTGAAGAATCCTGCGTCATATGTCATGACTGGTAACCTTCTGTTTAAACCTGAAAAATAGGATGTAAACCAGGTGAATAAATTGAAAAGATGTACGGATTTCACTTTAAATTGCACAAAAAATTTAAAACCAGACATGTCAGATAAAAATCATATTGCCATTCATATAATCATTTGAATTAAAAAATTATGTAAAGATACCAGCTAATTAGCAACAATCATATCTAAGAAATCTTTTTCAAGAAGATTGACTGAGAAATACATTTACTTCAACCTGAAAAAAGTCTCTCAGTATTTCATGAAAGCCTTATACATACTCATTCCTTTCTGATTTCACATAACCATTACCTGCATGCCTGTGAAATGCAGTCTAATTAAACAGATGGAATAGAAGTTAATGTACTGCTCTCAATTCCAAGATGCCCTTTAAGCTTTTATGGGAAAAAGATTCCAATCTTTATTCACGTTTTTCTACAGCATGAGACTGACAGTAGGTATTTGTCTGGGAAATAGCTTCACATCGCACTGGAGCCTTAATATGAACCAAGTCAGAGAGAGAGAGAGAGAGAGAGAGGGTTGTTGAACTTCTTTTCCGGGAAATATGAATTCTTCCGGCATCAGTGTGGGGCACACTTAAATATGAAGGAAGTTGACTGTCCCTTCTTATCTAGGAGAGTTAGCAGATTTTCTATTTAACCAAAGAAATTGTACTGATGTCTTATTGAAATATTCCATAAAAATTTCGCAATCTTTATTCTAATGTGAAATATAATAAAAAAAGATATCAATGATAAATCAGCACTACATGTAAATCCCAAATAAACTACCAGCAAAGGATCTGCTACATGTACATGTATATACTGGTTAAATAATCTCCATCCAAAATTACTTTCAATCAGAGAAACAGCTATACAAATAACACCAAAGAATTGTTTTGTCCAAGCTGTCACCATCTGATAATAACACACCTGTCACTCTCTGACGCTACTAACATGGCTGTGACAAATATTCTGGTGACAGCTTACATCTCCAAAAGACAACAACTGGTGACAATATTCGTGAAATCTTTAGTCTCTTGTTTTTTTCCTTGACTGAGCTCCTGTCATGCTATGTTGTCAACTTCTCAATGTCATTACTGTCACATGTAAGATGACAAATATAACAGGTGCCCTGAGAGCTTCACCTCACACATTCAGGTTGGGTGAGGCTCTATAAATAATGGCTATTAATCACATTTTTACTTTGTTCTAACAGGGCACAGTTATCTCACAAAAAGTAATAGATCCTGCATTCTACAGTAAGACAAGAATAAGGACAAATGAGGAACAACAGTGGAGTCAGATGAGCTAGGAGATGTCCTCGAGGTCCGTATATATACTGTTCCCATAACTGATATAAATAAAATTTAATAAATAAAGATAAAGGTATGTTGCCAACTTTTGCTGGTTACTTATGTATGGCCATAAATCACAGCGCCTGTGGTGCAAGAGTAATGATTGCAATTAAATTGAGGGCATACAGCATGTCATTTCAACCTATCAAATTTCACCTCATCAGGGAAGGTTACGTACTGTTTGAACATCTCGTACCCAGGGTGTTTTCACTCATAGTAACCACGAGTTTGAATGATAAAGACCCTTTAACATTATACTGACATTAAACCATTACATACTTTTTGTGAGCACACAGAAAATTAGATGACTTTATTCAATATTACAATTACACCTGACTTCCTCATGCTCATATCTCATCATGGAAAAAAAGAGTCATATGACCTCACATTCCTATTTCAACCTTAAAAACATGAACCTTGGCTGCTGAGCTTTATCTCTGCTCCATCAACTCTTACTCCTACACAACAAAACTCCTCAACATAATTCACAACTTAAATGACATTATGGTCTGTCTAACCTCTGCCAAAGAGAAACACTGCCCCCCTTTTCTCCATTCCAGCCTCATAAAGTTTACCTGACAACATTTAATCGCCTTATTACACATCTGAGAAAAAATGTCAATGTTTTTAACTCGAGATTGAATTACAACTTAAAGAAGATTAAGTTTCATCATCTCCCGCCCACTACTGCCAACATAACTGGTATACACCCAACTTCTAGACCACAATATTACTTCCCAGCTTTCAACATGTTACCAAAAACCATCTGGCAGTTATTGAACCTAAAAGAGAGTTAAGATAAAATCCAGGAAAAAGATGCTAGGTTTGTACCCTGCTGTTACGTGATTCCTGAGCAAAATGATGACAGCAGGAGGTCAGGTTAATGACAGGATTAAATCAGAATTCCCAGCAGGATCTACGGGGTACAATAACATCAAAACTATTTCAAAGTCTACTTTTCGGTGTTAGTCTCAAAACACTTTTCCTCAAAGTAGTCCTGAATATGTTCTACACATCAGAAATGTAGAGGTTACAACTAAACTATGGTACATAATTATTATTAAGAAACAAAATGTCTTCAGCATGCATATCATATGATAACACAGCCTGAATTAAATAAGTCCAGATTGCACAATAACATTAAGTTTAAATAATACACACTTTGATCTAAAAAAAAGCAATCACCTGCCATGATATATTGGACTTCATTAACTATATAAAAGTACTTCTGAATCAGTTTATTATAGCTTGACTGTTCTAAATATTTACTTTAAGGATGATCGACAGGCTTATAGTCTAAGACTATTGCCACTTAAACATTTATTTTTTCATTTCAAATGATTTAAGTACTTCTGAAATATATGCATTCAACTCTTGTTGCTAGACAGTTGCTTTAATTTTCAAACTACAACAGAACAAATTAAGTTAGCCAACAGCGGTGATCACAAAACTGAAAAAAATATTCTTAAAAAACAAAATAAAAAATCTATCCTTGTGCATGAAGAGGACAAATAATAAACTATATTTATATTCAATATCACACAGACAAATGTGAGGTAATTCCTGTACGTGGGGTTCCTCATGACTCTCCTGACTGCTAAAAATGGCAATCCCCTTCAGGAGGTGGAGAGGAAAGGCCACTGTGGGTTATTTTTAACTTCTCTGACATTCTATACAACAACTCGTCTGCCTACCTCTACTATTGCCTCAGTCTGAGTTCACACACCTGACACTGGCGACAAAACCTCAGAATATTTCAGGGTAATTGTATAGATCTACTTTCTTGTGTATGTATGTTTGGGGGGGGGGGGGTCAACAAACATTTAGATGTTTTTCTTTTGGGGGAAGGAGGACAGTAAATACTTTAAAAAATGAGTGGTGAGTTTATTTCAAACAGCCAAATTCTCAAAAAAGTTTTGGAGGTTGAAATTTATCCATATTGTTCAGCACAAAGAGGTAAAGAAGTTATGAATTAATAAAAAATCTCTAAGAATTTTGAGCCCTCTACCACAGAGTTGCATAGCATATTCCTCTTGGTTTCAAGAACTGATTGCAGTTACCACAAACCTTATCATCAACCCTGGCAGGTGAAACATAATGAACACATGAGGAAGCATTCTACTCTAGCTAGCTATCTCTACTCTAGCCAGCTATCTCTACTCTAACCAGCTATCTCTACTCCAGCCAGCTATCTCCACTCTAGCCAGCTATCTCTATACTCTAGCCAGCTATCTCTACTCTAGCCAGCTATCAGGTCAAGAAATTATTGACTGAACACAAAACATCTGTTTCAACATTTTGTCTCAATTCACATGTGTGAAAGTTGTACAAACTGAAAATCCTGAAAACGTTCCTTGTAAAAAATTTTGTCTCAATATTGTGTGTAAATCTTACGTTCAATGTGTCACAGATAAAAAAATCCTGGTTAATGAATGTTAATCTGTAAAGTACATACCGCAGTGCACCAGATGAGTTTTATTTTCAAAGAGTGCCTCACAGAATGTGCTAGAGAGGAGCAGACATCAGATGTGGTAGTTGTGACAATGTCTCACCTAACACAATTAACAACTCTTCACCAGACAGAACTCTCTCAGGACAGAAGAAGCTTCCTGTACCCACTTCAACATTCTCCGTCATGGTCTGTTGGACTTTGGTTTCTGATTAAGCCCAGTTTCGGCATTTAACTTTTTTCTTATAACATAGGGTTGGGTGAAAATACTGACATATTTTTTCCAATATCATATTCATAGAAATCTTTATAAAATAACCAAATTTGGTCTTTGTTAATCCTACCTAAAAAGTTATGATCACAATGTTATAAAATGAAACTAGAAAACAGCCTTTTCCAATCAAGTTATACCACAAAGGCGCAAAATGTAATTTCCTGCAGACGAAGATTGTAGGAAATAGGAAGAGCCAATTCCATTCCACTGGGACAAGATTCCTGACAGCTACACTGTACATACAACCATAAACACTGAAAAGTGACAAGAGTACAAACTACCTGTAGATCTGCCTCACCTGTTCTTATCAACAACCCTGGGATTTCACACATCAGGTCTACTTCTATATTTTATTTCATTTCATAACTATATACTTATTCACAAAATCCCTTCTGTCAAGAGCTGTACTTCCTTCTTAGAACTAGTACATGTTATCCTCTCTGTCAGGTATGTGTCAATCTAGATGCAAAGGTTTTGATCAGTTTACCATCAGAAAGAAGACATCTTTCAGCTGTTCTCTGCTAGCCACCCAGGTTAGCAGTACCGTCTGATCCATCACTGTCAAAGTTTAATGTGTACACAGCAAAGTGCACTTAATACTTCTTCAGGGTCTGGTCAGCCACGGTCAATAGGGGCTACTCATGAAGAGTCACTCCTGGGGGCTTAATTTCTACATGTTCAGGTTAAAAAAAATTGAAGGAAGAGTGCTGAGACAGCTGCATTCAACTCTGCTGTAACAATGAATGTTTTAGTCTTAACTCAAGATAGCAGGTGCTTGTTAGGGCCTTCTCTGAACATAAACAAAAAAGATTCAGTGCCCTTTTGTCTGACATATAAAAACAGTATCTGTAGACTTTAAAATTTAAAACCAGAGTACAACAAAAATATGGAATCACTGATATAGAATTTAGCAAGTTGTTGTATCCTAAGTTCT